GGGGTATATATAAACGAGACTTTTCAGCCATTTTTCATTTTTCAAAAACCCTAAAGCATAAGAGGCGATTTTTCAAACACTCCTTCTTCTCCAAAACACAAGTAAGTGATTTTAAACTCATTTCTTTCACTCCTTAACTTCTTTTTACAAGATTTCATCCTAGAATCTAGGGTTTTCATGGTGGAAATTGGGTATTTTGGGTAGAACTTAAGAATATCAAAATTTGGGGATTTAGACCTCAAATTGAGGTAGGATTCCAAAACCAATTATATATCCGGGCTCGGGGGTGAATGGATAATCGGGTTTTGGTCCGAATTTCGGGTTTGGACCAAACGGGTCCGAGGTCGATTTTTGACTTTTTGAGAAAAACAAGGAGAAAATCTATTTTCATGCATTGGAATTGGTTTATTTAGCAATTATTAACGTTATTAAGTAAATTGTGGCTAGATACAAGCGGGTTGGCGGTGGAATCAAGAGGTAAAGCGGTAGTTGAGGCTTGATTGTGTTCGTGACATTGAGGTAAGTGTTTGGTCTAACCTTAGCTTGAGGGAATAGGTGTTGTGCCTTATTTGCTATGTGTTAGTGTAGTGTACGACGTATAGGTATGGTGACGAGTATCTATACGTTGGTGTCAAGCATGCCCGTGGGTCTTAAATTGTGATCGTTGTGTTTCTTAATAAGTACTACGTATGCCTAAATTGTTGATTATCCATGTTGAGTAAGATTTATGATTTTCTTCTTGGAATTTGGTTATTGTTGAGCATTGGCTCTAGTTGAGGTGCAAATGGTGAAGTTGATTATTGGTACAAGTTTGGTTATAGCTGATTCCCTTCCCGGGACGTATTTAATTCTTATTATTGATTCCCTTGCCGGGATGTATTTATTTCTTATTGTTGATTCCCTTGCCGGAATGTATTTATACTTATCATCGACTCCCTTGCCGGGATATTGTTGTTGCTATTGTTTGGGTGAGAAAGAGTGATAAAGCACGAAGGATGATGCCATGCACATTCATACTTATGCATATGGTGAGGAAAGAGTGATAAAGCACGAAGGGTGATGCCGTGCACATTACATTGATATTGATGCATATGGTGAGGAAAGAGTGATAAAGCACGGAGGGTGATGCCGTGCACATTTTCATTACTTGATTGCATTGGTGAGGATTGAGAGTAAAAGTACGAAGGGTGATGACGTGCACTTATTTCCTGTTTGTTATGATTTCTTGCTGTTTTCGGTTCAAATGCCTTAATTGTCTTATTCCACTATTACTATCATTCTTTATGTTGGTATTTCCTCATAGCATGTTACCCCTCCCCGTTACTTTTGAATTACTCCCGTTACTGTTATTCTGCTAGATACTGTGTAACTGCAGGTTAATTATTTGTTGTGTCCTAGCCTCGTCACTACTTCGCCGAGGTTAGGCTCGACCCTTACCAGCACATGGGGTCGGTTGTGCTGATACTACACTCTGCACTCTTTTGTGCAGATTCCGGTACTGGAGCATACGGACCTTAGCTAGGGGTTGCTGCCTTCGGTCCATCGGAGACCTGAGGTAGTCCTCCAGGCGTCCGCAGGACTCGGCGTCCCCTTCCTATCTAGCTTCTTTCTGTTCTTTTCTATTTTAGAGACAGACATGTATTCATTTTGTTCAGACCCTGTTTGTAGAATTCTTAGATAGTCCGTGAGATTGTGACACCAGTTCTGGGTAGTTTATGTTTATGGATTCGTATTGGTATTAGCTTAATCGTTAAATTTCGTTCTTCCGCATTATTATTTCCGCAGTTTATAATATGTTAACTTGCGCTTGTTAAGAGGTTAAAAAATGAAAGTAAATTAATCGGAATAGTTGGCTTGCCTACCTTTCACTAATAGGCACCATCACGACTCCCGAGGTTGGGAAATCCGAGTCATGACACATACTAGAAAATATGTTACAGTCTTTCTCATTAAGTTTGGTGACTCTCTAGTATCTTAAAAGTCAAAGAAGCATAGTACATTTTCTTAGAAGTTCTGCAGAAGCTGAATATAGAAGTTTAGCATCCTTAGTTGCAGCACTAACATGACTGTTGGGACTGATTAAAACATGGGAATTGAGGTCAAACTGCTTGTAACTGTGCTCTGTGATAGCAAATCAGCATTGCAGATTGATGCAAATCTTGTGTTTCATGAACGGACCAAGCATATCGACATAGACTGCCACTTTAATGGGGAGAAAATTCAAGAAGGATAAGTCAGAGTATGTGACAACAAGAAATCAACTAGCTGATATTTTGACAAAGAGCTTGAACAAGAGTACCTGAATTCCAAACTAGGTGTTTTTGATATCTTTACACCACCTAGCTTGAGGGGGAGTGTTGAGAAGAGTATTACATAAAAGAGACTAGATGTAGAAGGGTAGTTTAGTTTATTTATCTATAGAGTATTAAGCAATGTCGGTTAAAATGAATTAGTTAGAATTAGTTGATGTATATATGTTTGTACTGTCAGTTACAGTAATAACAGAATTTATTTCTCAAATTTCTTTCTCTCCCTAAACTCTCACTGTTGTCTCGTCTTTCTTTCTGATCTCCATTTCCAATTAGGGTTCATCAGAATTGATCCCTTTGATTTCATCAGAGTACATGGGCCACAAAACCCTAGATAGTACAACAGAAAGGAATATCTATTAGAATATTCTCTAGGGAATCTAAATCCTAAGACTAACCGTTACTTCGTACCGAAGGCGGGTGCTCGTCCTCGTCTTTTGTTAAACCACCTCGACCTTGACGGCGATTTATCTTCTTCATATGACCTCGACCTCTTGGGGTCAGGTTGACACGTCACAGCGTCGACACATCACATCATTTAAAGGCTTTATCGTCGTTGACCAGGTCAAATGCATGACATGAACTTTTTCGCCCATACAAAAATCTAACGATATTTGATCCTTTTCCTAAAGCCCCGCCTGACCATGCTTTAAACTTGTCTGTAGCTAGCAAATGAATATGAAATGATCAACTCGGCTGAACATAAATTCCTAATGCTAAATAACAAATGTAAAGTGTTTGTCCTATTATTCACCAAGAAGATGCAACCAAGATTTCCTCTCTTTATATAAATCTTTCTTTCACGTCCGTGTATGCCGGGGCAGATCCAGTACTTTTCATGCGCAATACAAATTTATATATAAAAATTTATTGACATTACAATAAATAGTAAATATATCCAAAAAATTTAAAATATAATAACGTTCAATATTAAAAATCTTAAATGTTAAACTCATATAACTAAAATTCTAAATTCGCCTTTGCTGTGTGATTCTCTATACTATTGAAAGACGAGAACTATAAAAAAAAAAAAAAAAGAAGACATTCTCGGCGGTCACTCACCAGTGAATAGAGTTACATTTTTAAGTGAAATATATTACAACGAAAAAGATTTGCCATTATGTGACAAGAGATGGATTTTGTCTTATGTTGTGGCGTTAGGTGGCACTAAAAACCAAATCTGATGATCATGTCTGTGAAAGGACGGGAATGAATGGTACCATCAATCACTAAACTCAAACAGAAAACTGAATTAGCACAACAATATATAAATGTTTAGAGTTTTTGGTGTTCCATCATTAGCATAATTCGACAAATAAATGGCCGGCTAAGACAGCTTCTTTAACCTTTTCTCTACCTTAAGTACGTAGTCACTTAGTAAATAAAAAAATATATGTGACCTGAGAAGACCACGTACCAAGAGGGCAAGTTTTAGATGTGTCACAAAACCGCTGCCACAATATTTATCTGTTAAAGGAGGAACAAACTTTAGGGATCTTTATACAAAATAGGGGGCATATTTATTGTTTATTTTTTCTAACTAGTATACATAAATTATTCATTGCTTATATACCCATATTATGTATGGATTACATATATATTATATATCTACCAATTATTCCTAATTTAAACGGTTGAGTAGCCACATATTTAGGTTAATTCTTCTATAATTAATTAATCGCATAGTAGACCCCAATAAAGCTAAACGCATGCATGGTACTTATCATGGAATGCGGCAACTAACTTGACAATTGTTTTTTTATTTTGTTTTGGTTACATTACGGGATGGGAAATGAGGAAAGAGGAAGGAATGCTAGATTAATGACGGCTTTAAAAAATGGATGATAGAAATCTGATGAAGTGAGCTAGCCCGCAACCCCGAGACTTGATTTAATGATTTAATACCCTCCTCATGGATTGGAGGCAGGGACAGATCAAGTGCATTCGTCACGGATTCTCGTGAACTCAGTAACTTTTGTCTAGATTTTGTATTTGTATTCAAAAATTTATTAAATATATAAGAATATTTAGCTTGGAACCCAATCCATTAATTCAATTATTATTGTATACTAGTTTGAGATTTTTGCAGAAATTTATAAATTTAAAATTCTGAATTCGCCTATAGGAGGTTGAAGGTTCTAGTGAAGGGAATATTATAAGTCCGTGAGCTGAGTGGGGTGAAAGAAAATGTGGTAACTTACTTGACGAAGTTTTCTACAGTAATTTAGAGAGAAAGAGGCAGATGTTTTATTTTTCTTTCGTATTTATTGTTGGAGAGAATATAGGAGGAAGGTATGCTAATTACAGTAAGTAGTATTTTTCCGCGGAGCAAAGTGTTGTCAAATTTGAATCCCGTTCAAATAGAAGAAAGAAAGAAAGAAGTTAATAACTTGGTGTAACTCTAATTCCAAGTGAACTTAAATGGAAAAAAAAGTCTAATTTCAAACTTTTCGCGACTAGGTCCTTATTTATTTGCACGTTAATTAATTTAATTTACAGTAAATTTAGAGTTAATTCTACCATGGTCCAAATAGCTAGATATATGCAAATAAAAAAAACAAATAAATCAAATCCCGTTTGTTTGCTAACAAAGAGTAGGAAAGTAGTTGGATAAGAGGAAGTCCAGGTATATACGTAGTCTTTCACTAATTCCTCTCTATTTTATTGAATATTATTTTGAACATCCTCTCTTCATCTATATATAGATAATAGTATATCTTAGCTTGAGACCTCGCATTTCTTGAAAATACAGTAGCTTTTCTTCTACCTTTTTCTCCATACCTCCATGCACGTAAAGCAGAACAAGAACCCTATATTTATAGTTCGTTTCCTCATATATAAATTTATTTCATACGTTTAATCACTATGAAGGCAGAACTAAGAGGAAACTCTACAACAATTCCCATCCAAAACCCTAACCTTTTTAACAACCCTCAAAATTCTCTAACAGGAGCATTAAAAGGATGTATTGGAAGTCTTGATGGGGCATGTTTGGAGAAACTTTTACTTCATTGTGCAAATGCATTAGAAAACAATGATGTAACTTTGGCTCAACAAGTTATGTGGGTACTCAACAATTTGGCTTCTTCTAATGGAGATCCAAATCAAAGGCTTACATCTTGGTTTCTTAGGGCATTGATTTCAAGGGCTTCTAGGGTTTGTCCTACAGCCACAAATAATTATCTCTATGGAAGTAGTAATCTTGATCAAAGGAGATTAATGAGTGTGACTGAGCTTGCAGGGTATGTAGATCTCATCCCTTGGCATAGATTTGGATATTGTGCATCAAATAGTGCTATTTATAAAGCCATTGAAGGGCACACAAAAGTTCATATATTAGATTTTAGTATCACTCATTGTATGCAATGGCCAACTCTAATTGATGCAATAGCTAAGAGGCCTGAGGGTCCTCCTTCACTTCGAATATCGGTGCCTTGTTGGAGACCATCAGTTCCTCCATTTCTCAATGTATCAAGTGAAGAAGTTGGCCTGCGTTTGGCTAATTTTGCAAAGTTTAGAGATGTCCCTTTTGAATTCCATATGATTGAAGACTTGAACTATGATATGCTCTTGAGCCAATTGAGTCCTTCAACTCTTCAACTTAGGGATGATGAGGCTTTGGTGGTTAATTGCCAAAATTGGTTAAGGTATATGCCTGATGAACAAATTAAAGGAAGTAGTATTTCTTCTCGTGACATATTTCTTGATAGGGTTAAGGATCTAAATCCATGTATTATGACTGTGGTTGATGAGGATTCTGACTTGGGAAACTCAAGTTTAAAATCAAGATTAGCCACTTGCTTCAACTATTTATGGATACCTTTTGATGCATTAGAGACTTTCTTGCCTAAGGATAGTAGACAAAGGCTTGATTATGAAGCTGATATTGGCCACAAAATTGAGAATATTATTGGATTTGAAGGGTTCCAAAGGATAGAGAGATTAGAGTGTTGCAACAAGTTCTCACAAAGGATGGAAAATAGTGGTTTCATGAGTGTTCCTTTTTGTGAGGAAACAATTAAGGAAGTAAAGTCACTGTTAGATGAGCATGCAAGTGGGTGGGGTATGAAAAACGAGGACGACATGCTTGTATTAACATGGAAAGGCCATAACTCTGTCTATGCAACTGCTTGGGTCTTGGTCCCACCTCAAATGGACATGAGGATTGAGTAAAACAAGACACTCAAATGGTCTATCCCAAGGATTGAGTAGCTTATTAAAACTAGATACTCCATATTTTAGTTCCTAAGTGGTTTTTAAATGTGCTACGGTACCTTTAAATTAAAGTAGCTAGGGCCTATTGAGATGAAGTTTCATTCTCAGGGTGGTCCATGGGAAGAGAAATGACAGGATTAGAATTGTTTTTTCTTTTTCAGTCATAGTGTTGTAACATAAAACAAGACGAGGGTGAAATGCTAGGAATTGGAGAGAAACTTTAATTTCAACCCATGCCACCTTTGTATTTGTGCTCTACTACACTACAACTGTCACATGAAAGCTGAGGAAATTAAGAAGAGAAACGTGCATATTAATGTCTTTTGTATGAAGACCAAAACCAGCCACTATGTTTTCTTAGTCGTGCTTTTCAGTCTTTGGTTTTGTGTTCGGAAGTGATTATCTAACTTTGCAGAGTAGAAAAATATGAGGGCTGGGGCTTTCATAATCGCAAGAGAGCACTGATTTCAACATCCTAGCTATTTCTACTTTTGTGTAATTTGACGTTAAGAAACATGCTAAATTGTACTACTTATACGAAGAAATATATAATCAAGCTAAACTATATATGAATGCCTTTTTTTTTTTTTTTACTGGTTTTGCTAAAGCTGAAACATGTGGTAAGTTGGCTGTACATGAATCGGTCATTTGTCTTCCCAGAAATGAACTAAAAGCATATTAATTAGATTTAATTTTATCGATGGTCATTGAAATTTTGTGTTTGTTACCCAAAAGTTACTTTTCTTTTTCTTGTTACGTAAAAATCATTTAACTTTATGTTCATTACTCAAAAGTCACTTTTCTTTCATTTGTTACACAAAAATCATTTTACTTTGCTCTAGTTATCACAAAAGTCACATTTGCTAGATTTTATACTCCCTCTGTTTCAATTTATGTGAACCTATTTGACTGGGCACGGAGTTTAAGAAAAAATGAAGACTTTTAGAATTTGTGGTCCTAAACAAGTTAAAATGGGGCCCAGAGTATTTGTGTGGTTATAAAAGCTTCTCATTAAGGGTAGAATTGGAAGTTTAAGCAAAAATTCTACCAAATTAAGAAAGGGGTCATTCTTTTTGGAACGGACCAAAAAGGAAATAGGTTCACATAAACTGGAATGGATGGAGTAATATTTTTACTTGAAAAGTCTATTATACCCTTGATAATATATAAACCTTCATATTTATGCAATATCTTCTATATTATATATTATATATTATATATTATATATTATATTTTTACCTAGGTATTTTTTTTATAACAAAAATAGCTTAATATTATTTTATTTATTATTTTTATAATATATTCGTATATTTAATTTTTCCTTAACGTTAATTTTCAAGATATATTTGTAGTGTTATTAAATTTGTCAATAACTTTACTATGAACAAATCTCACGTCAACGTTCTTAACCACTCCTAATAAAATATTTTTAGTAAGAATTATAAAATCAAAGCTCACAGATTTATCAATCAAGCCATATTCATTAATCCAATAAATAAAATACCAACATTTAGTAAACTCACACATCAGATTAACAATTTTAAATAAATAATATCAACAGATAAAGCTTAAAATTTAATAATAAACTCAAATATCTTTTAAATAAAATTAATAGTTTTACTGACAATAAAAAACTATCATTTGTTAAACAAATCTGTTTTTGTTAATTCAAATATTTTTTTCGTCGTTTACATAATTGAAAATATGGTCATGCTTGAATATGATTAAACAAATTCAGTATCATGGGAAAATTAAATGTACTAATATATTATAAAAAATAATAAATAAAATAATATAAAATTATTTTAATTTTAAGTAAAATTCCTTGGTAAAAATATATTATATAATATATAATCTAGAATATATTACATAAATTGGAGGATTTATAATGTCAATGGCATAATAGACTTTTCAGGTGAGTTTTATAAAATCTTGTCAAAGTGATTATTGTGATAACTAGACCATAGTAAAATAATTTTTGTGTAACAAAATAAAGAAAAGATTTTACTTTGACACGATAATCACTTTGACAAGATAATCACTTTGGCTAGATTTTATAAAATGCACGTAAAAATTAAAAATAAAATCAGTAAAGGAAAAATTAAATATACGAATATATTATAAAAATAATAAAAAAAATAATATTAAGTTATTTTAGTTATAAATAGAATAACTAGGTAAAAATAAATATGTTATATAGTATATAATTTAGAAGGTATTATATAAATATGATTTATATAATATCAAGGGTATAATAGACTTTTCAAGTAAAAATATTATAAAATCTAGCAATGTGACTTTTGTGATAACCAGAGCAAAGTAAAATGATTTTATGTATAACAAAAAAAAAAAAAGAATAGTCACTTTTGAGTAATAAACACAAAGTTTAATGATTTTTACGTAACAAAAAAGAAAAGTGACTTTTGGACAACAAATACAAAAGTTTAATGACCATCGATAAAATTAACACTATTAATTAAGAAGTAGCGTTTCGCTAAAATAGTCCATACATCATGCAATTTTGTTCAAATACTAGCTAGGCATTTTAGTAGAGTGAAAGGACATGCGATAGACTGAATAATGTAGAATCTCAAATAGAAAACTATTGGGGTAAGGATGTGTATTAAGTAACAAAACTATTAACCTAAGAGGGTGGATGCCTAATTAAACTGCTAAAACCTATGGCGAAAAGAAAATTGGAATTTTTTTCAAAAACTCTCTGTTACCCTAAAAATTGGATAATAATTAAACTTATATTGTGGTTTTAAGGATATGTGATTTCGTCCAATACCAATTGATAAGCAAGAAAATAAATGAATAAATTAGAGAATAAAATAAATCAAACCAGTATGCTAGCTAGGTCTCAACCTCGACTCGGGATAGTCTCGAGGTGGAATAGTAAGAACAGTAAATGATAAAGCAACTCTGATGAACAGTAAGTGAAATAGCTGGAAAATAACGAGTGTATACATTCTTCTTAGTGAACAATGATCATTATAAATGAATGGGATCCCTCTTTCTATAATAGAGGAGTCCTAAATAAGATACACTTCTAATTATAGTAGGAAACCATATTAACATCTGATTAACCGCCGTGGATTGATCCGTTCTGAGATTCATGCCATGATCCTCGACCAATCGCGGATATCTCGCCTTTTCCGTTATCAAGCTATACCGATGTCACTTAGAGTCTGCCTCTTTCTGGTCGCGATTGACGTCGACCTTGGTCCGAAAAGAGGCTTCGATTCCGGACTCGACGTCCTAGCTCCTTGACGCGACATTCCTATCTCGAGCAAAGGATGAAATTGGATAGCCCCGATTTCGATCGTATACAGATAGTCTCCCTCGTTTCTTAGAGTAAAATGATAAGAAATGACTTGAGCCTAGATTTTCTGGAGACCCCGATAATGATGTCATCCCCGTTACGTAAGAAATTGAGGTGACCGAAACGTCCCGTCGGTACAGTTCCCCAAGCCATTAATGCTTGCCAGTGGACGATCGGCCACTAGTACCACTGAACCGTCGCCGTAAATCTATAAATATAGGCTCTTTGGTTGAATCAAAATTTTACTTTCACCTCCACCAAGTTTTCTAAGTTTTTGACTCTCTCCATCTCTTCTCTTTCACCACCTGTTGTGTCAACTTTGTTAGTATCACGAGTACTAAGTTTCACCTTTTTCCGCTTTCTTCTACCTGTATTACTGGCGAAAACCTCCAAAACCGTCCCACTAAAGGACAAAGCCTCTTCATCGAGGCCGGCCGGTGATAAAACGCCGGTGGATCCACGCATCGAGGAGTGCGTTTCGGGGTCGTGCGATCTTACCTCCGATTTCAAGATCGAGAAACCCTCGTCTGTCCCTGGCTAATGCAAGCCGATGTCGAGATATATATGCTCGATAACTGAGGGCGACTTGAAGCAGGTAAAAAAGGATTGCCATTAGGAAGGCAAAGATATGTTGATCCCGACCCCTGAAGAGGTCATCACCACTCACGTGAAAGAATTCTTGAGTGTTTGTACTTACCCTTGTACGTTGTGTCCGGTTGACCCCGTTATCCTTGATTTCTGCCTCCAATACCAAATAACCTTGGGCCAGATTTATCCTTAATCTGGCGCATTGTTATTTTGCTCCGATTCTTCGTGAGCCAAGTCGAGGGGATGCCTTTTACCCTCGACCACCTTATTAGAGTCTCTATTAGGGAGGGTTGATAAGGATTCAGCGTCGAGCCACCAAGGTGATGTTCTCGAGCATAGATGAGGACAAGGACCGAGGATGGGTGGGCCGATTTGTCCGAGTGAGGACTTCCGACATAATTCCGGCCGAGAAGATGTCGTTCCCTGAAGAGTGGAACATGAAGCGTAAGCGCGAATTTGCCTATAACTTCCGTCTACCGTTTTGTTTCTTTTGTCTTTTTGCACTGACATCCTTTCCTGTGATACAGCGGATTCTTGGGTGCCCGGTGCAATCCCGGACCTTGAAGGCTGGGTTTGGAAGCTGTCCTCGACCTCTTCATACTCTGAGCGTTGTTGGCGTGATTTGGCCAAGGGCCGATAGGAGGCCAAAAACCACAGTAAGATTCTCTATCATGCTTGATTCCTTTCTGTGAAATGTGTCTTTCTTATTTTCACTTGATTTCCTTTTATGCAGGTCTCGGGGATGTTGCCGAAATGAGGCTGACCCTGCCTGGGGAGAAGGTGGCCCCGAAACCGCCTATGGATAAGAAGAGGAGAAGGATCTCGCCTTCAGATACTCCGAAGCCTAAGAAGAGCAAGACTCGTAAGTCAAATAACGAGTCCGCCGCTCTGTCTGATGACATAGCCCAAAAGCTACGAGATGAAGAAAAGGATGGGGAAGATACTAAATGTGAGCTAGTTGCTCAAAAGAGGGGAAGCGTCGAAGCTTCAAGATCAGTCGAGCCAGTGATGGTCGAGGAGGCCCATCCTCGGACCGAGGAGGTCTCGGAAGATGGTCCAAGCAAAGTCCCCGAGTCATTGAGGGTCGAAGATGTCTCATGCCGTGACGAACAACCGGCGAGTGTGCCTGAAGGGTCCGGTTCCGAGGCCCTTCAAAAGGGAGAGAGTGCCCCAAGTGACTTGCTTGGGGCAATCAATATTGATGATTCGCCGCCCGGCTCCACATTTTCTAAAGGGCAATTTCGGGAGGCTCGGTCTATGGAGACCCCCGATGCAGGAACTGCCCACGAAGGAGATGACATATTTTGTGGCTGCTTCACGGGGGTCGATGACGTTCCGACCTGGATGCAACGATCATTTTTGGTGAGCTCAGCGACTCCTGAACCAGGTAAATTTCAG